CAAAGTGTTCACTTACAATGGGTTCATTTTTAATGTAGTTAAACTATATTTCAGTACAATCAATTGAAAACATAGACCAAAGAAATATAATAAAAGATCCATAAACAGAGCCTTATAAATATGTATGCTCAATTCAGGACAATGGTGGTTCAGCAAATAGCAGCAGGGTATGCTGCATGATCTTTAAAAAAAGAAAAGGGAATAGGACTATTGGATCTAAATCTTAAAAGTGAAACAAAGTTCCTACAACCGGAAACATTTTCATCATTTTGGTAAAGCAAGTTTCTTAAACAAGACCTAAAAAGCACTCACCAAAAACAGAAAGACTGATTAAATGGACATTAAAAATAAGAACATCTGTTCATTCAAAGACCCTTTCAAAGAGTGAAAAAGTCAGTGTGAGAAACATCTGCAAAACACAGAATAAATGACTAGTATATATTAGACAAACACGATGTTTGCAAACCACTAAGAAAACGACTAACAATCCAAGAGAAAAATGGACATGATTTGTGAACAAACACTTCAAAAAGGTTAATGTCCAAATGGCTGATAAACAGGAAGAAGTGTTCAGGAGCTTTAATCATTAGAGAAATAGAAACTAAAACCAGAATGAGATACTATCACATACCTCCAAAAGAAGTAAAAGGAAAGACACAGCAAATGCTGCAAAGGGTGTGAAGCACCTGGAACTCCTGTCCACTGCTGGTGAGAAGGGTAAACTGGTTTAATCCTTTGGAAGATACATTTCCCTGTGACCCAACAATATTCACTGCCAGATGTATATAGCCTCCAACAAAATTCATAAATACAGGCACAATATACGTACAATATTCTGCACATAGGAGGATGTGTGTACAAATAGCACAATTGTATGTAATAGCCCTATATGAGGATCAAAATGTACAAGAATAGAATCAATAAAATGTGGGACATTCATCCAAATGTGGGATATTATGATATGATGATAAAAATGAATTAACTATTAGCACATGAAATAACAGATGAATCTCACAATGCTTGAAAGAACATACACTGTCTAATTCCATTTATAGAATTAAAAATTATAGCTTTAGAAGTTTATTTAAAAATACCAATCGCTAGCCAGGCACAGTGGCATATGTCTATAATCCCAGCTACACCAGAGGATGAGGCAGAAAGATGGCAAGTGCAAGACCAGCCTCAACAACTTGAAGATAATGGTTTAAAAATAACCAAGAAAAAGAAAAGGACTAGAGTAGTAGCTCAGTGGTAGAGGGCTCCTGGGTTCAATTTTCAGTACTGAAAAAGCAAAAAACTGCTAAGAAGTACTGAATGTTTACTGTATGTTAAGTATCATTCCAAGTAAGTTTTGTATTTTAACTCAATATTCACAAAAACCTTTTAAGAAAGATGTCACAGAGTATTCCTAAATGAGCAAATTAAATAACAAAGTGGTTAAATAACTTGCTCAAGTCCACAGAGCAACTTGAGTGTTAAAGCTGGGAGGTGAAGACACTTTGGTTTGAGGGCCTGTCTCTTTTTTTTGGTGGTGGTGTTGGGGATCAGAACCCAAGGCCTTGTGCATGCAAGGTAAGTACTCTACTACTTGAACTATATCCCCAGCCCAGGGTCTTACTGTTAACACTAAGCTATCAGTGTAGTTCAATGACAGAACTTTAATGCAAAGATAGAGAAGGGCAAATGTTTAGGTGTTGGGAAGAGGAGAAAGGTCAAATTCTCACATTCCAAAGAAAAAAAATCAGTAGATATTGCCTAAAACTGATTGGGGGTGGGGGGAAGGGGAGAAGAAGAGACATACCAGTCATACATTACAAAAAATCTGGAGGAAAGACCAGAAAAAATAGTTGATTTTCATGGCAACAGTGGTTGTCTCTAGGAAATGGGTCAGAATGGAATGGGGACAGTCATATTTCCTTAAAAGCCCTGTGTCACCATCTCATATGTTTTAAAAACCACGTACACATTGCTTTGACAAAAATAAAGTAAAAAAGACTGAAATATTTGAAAAATAACAAGTTACCACTTATTGAGCCCCAATGTTACTGGTTTTTGCAAAAACCTTAGTGCATGGAATCTCCTAACAATAGTGAGGTCCTRGCATTACCTTTCTTTTGCTGATTAAGAGTCAACTATCCAGGGCTCATTGACTAGTAAGTGGCAGAGCTACAGTCCAGGGAGACCACAGGCGTGAGACCCACACTAATAAGAGGAGATGAGGCCTTTAATAATTGGGATATTTAGTTGGTGGCCTGGACAGGAGCTAGTGACAGTGAGTTAGGAGGGGACATGAGGATGCCCGTGCATGTGTGTAATGAGAGGGTCGAAAGGGATGAGTCCTAGCATTAACAATCACCGATATTTATTGCACACTTCCTGTGTCCATTGTGTCAAGAGACTGAATGAATGTTTGCTAACCACCCCACGGTGTAGGCAGGACTAGGACCTCCCTACACCCAACAGGGTGGCTCAAGTGAAGGGCCTAATTCAAGTTCAGCACAGCACAGTTCTTCAGGGCCCAGGCTCTTCCCCACTATTCAAAACACTTGGGCCATTAAGGAAGAACCCAAATTTAGGAGGAGTGAAAGATTTAGGAGTGGAAGTGGGRCAGATACTGAGTTTTGTGTGAGAATAGGTCCAAATCATGGGTTGGCGATATGGGCCAAGGAAAAGGTTAGAGAAATTGACTTTGGGTCATACTATCCAGAGGAAGGCCAGCTGTGAAAGGGGAGAGGGGGATTTCAGGAAGATATGGGAGCCAGGATACAGCTCCTCATCAGCAGGAGAGGCCAGGAAACAACAGTGAGTAGTATGTTCACAGGCAGAAGAAGGGAACTAGGGAAGACAGAGGAGTTTCACTCCAAGAAATTGGGGATGTGTTTGCAATGCTGGATCTGCTCTCATCTCTGGGGCCCAGGGTGGCCTAGAGGCCTGGTCCTTGCTGTCTTAGCAGCCCCTCTGGCTACCTTTCCAGTTTTTGCTCTGTCCTGCCATTCTAGCCTTCCAACCCTTCCTCTCAACCTGCTCAGCCCTCCCAGTGTGTGGTTCCAGCTTTCTTCTACTTACTGTCCCTCACATCAACTGGTATACTTCTTTTCTTTAAATACTCGATTTTTAAAAAAAAAAATCTTTTTAAGGGAGGGACAGGAAGGCGAAAGACCTACTGGTTTGGTAATTAATGGTGATCAATACCCACAGAAGGCTGTTTTAATGGTGTGGTGGGTTAGAATTGATGAGATGACAGTGGCTATGGAGAGAATAGCAGCCGAGGAGTTACATGCTTTGAGCAGCAGGGCTGGGCAACTGTGTCCTTGTAGTGGAGGCGGGTGGATGGGAAGCTTGTTTGCAGGCTGTGACAAGAAGGTAGGGGAAGCAGAAGAAAGTGATGAAGAGGTGGGCTACCAGAGCTCCAGGGTGTGTGTGGGGTTGGTCATGAGGGAAGAAGCTACCTTTTGGGCTAAGAAAAAAGAAACAAGGAAGGAAGCAAGAAGGAAATGAGGAGAAAGAAAGCCTTGGCTTCTTCTTTCCTGGTGGAGAAGAGAGGAGACAGCTCAGGGCCACAAATATGTGGCACAGAGGAGCCGCTGATGACAGGGAGAGGGGAAGTCAGCACTAGCCATACTGAGGCCCACGAAACTGKACCTTCATTTCTTCTCTCCTCATTCAGGACTAACCAAGATGGTTCTGTGGGTTCTGTGTTTTGGGCTCTGACTCAGTGTGAAGTGTGTCACTCTCTGAATCATCAGCAATACTTGATATCACTTCCTATCACTTCACTTTCTTGTGCAGGTAGTGACAGGCAGGCCCCCAGGAGGGTGAGGTCATGCTTTAAACATGTGCACATACCCAGTTCTTGCTTGAAGGATACTGAAAGGCAATTTAACTGCAGAAAGGGTGGTGGATTTCATTCTCATGACCTCAAGTGTTTAACAAAGTTTAACAAAGCAGACATGAACTGACAATAGGAGTTTTTAGTTTCTCAGGGGATAATCAGATGACAATTCCCTTCATGGACTGGTAACATATTTTTCTTTGAAGCAGAAAATGATCTGTATAGAGCATAAAACCGTATTTTATCTTAATGATGAGCTCCACAGAACTTTTCTTTAAATGGAGGAAACCATTTGATTGGTGGGCGTTTGACAATAAAAATAGAGCACAGCAGCTGTTTTACAAGCCTAATGTAATATTAAAACCTATAAAACAGCCAGTCCGAGTGGTGCATGCCTGTAATCCCAGCTATTAGGGATGCTGAAGCAGGAGGATGGCAGCTTTGAGGCCAGTCTGGGCAATTCAGCAAAACCCTATCTCAAAATAAAATATAAAAAGAACCAGGGGTATAGCTCAGTAGTAGAGCACCCCTGAGTTCAAGCCCCAGTACCAAAAACAAAAACAAAAACAAAGCTACTACAAAATACTTCTCACATTAAATATTAGTACTGTGACACTTAATACTCTATCTCCAAAACACCAGAGGCCTCACATCTCAACATTAATTTATTAATGCATCATTACTAACAGCACAGGAATTTATGAGAAGGGTTTGGACCCCATCCTGCTGCTGTTCAAGGACTAAAACCATCTGAGTATTTTCTAATTGATAGGGCTAAAAGAATGGTACCAGGACCTGTTTTCATTTGCCTTCCTTCAAGATGCAATTCTTGATATTTATAGACCTGTGTGTGTGTGTGTGTGTGTGTGTGTGTATATATATATATATATATATATATATATAAATAAATGGCTTCTATGTCTATTCTTACAATAAGCAAGATTCAAATTTCTATTTTTTTACTTTAAAGTTTTCTCTCCCAAGACTTAAGAAAATATTTTCCTAAAATACACCAGACCTCATGGTATTCTTTCAAGTCCTGGAGATGTTGAGGATCAGCAACTCCGAATTCCCTGAGGCAGCAGGGGCTACACCTGTAACACATTTTTTGTATGGAAGAATTTCCTAAGTGCCTTTAGATGTATATTAATTAAGCTTAATCTCTTACCCTATTGTTGGGTTGATGTTCGGATCAAAACTGTCTTCCACAAACCGCCACACGATACTGGATTTGCCTACACCTGTATCCTGAAAGAGAATGAGACGTGCGACTAAGAAAAAGTGAACCTGCTTGCAAGTGGAAAAATCAACTTTATGGTATAAGTTCAGGATTTCAGAAAAATAATATTAGTTGTGTATCAAATTTTGTGAGTTGAGGGGCACAAAAGAGGTTTTCATAAACACTTAAATAGGAGAGTTCAAATGTGTCATAGGGGAAGTGTTTTGCAGTTTTTAAGACATCAGGACCTTTGAACCACTTGAAGTTTCTGCTTTATGTGAAAAGTGACATACTTGCTTTTTCCAACATGTATTTGTAAACTCTGAGCTCCTGAATTAGTTGAGTATCCCTGATGAATCCTGTCCCCACCCTATTCCGAGGGCAACAAAGCCTAGTTGTGGGAACTCTTTTTCATCTTCAAAGCAGAAACTCAGGAAGGAGAGCATCAACCTCAGAAGACTCTGAAAGGGCCAAAGTACCCTGACAAGACAGGAAACCCAAGCTGCACGCTCGCGTTTGGGGTTTCCTGGCCCTCTCCGCGGGAAGAGTTACTTCGCGAAGTAACTCTGCAAGAAGTGTCTGGGTGTCCCACCAGCTCAACAGACGGGAAGGAGGCCAGTGTTGCTGGTCGACCTCCAGACCTGCGGGCTTCCCTTGGGGGGGGGGGGCTGGCCGCTCCCACCCTGCACCAGCCATCCCCGGCGGACAGCCTGCGCCCCGGGGAGGGGGTCCCCGTGGGTCCTCGCRCCCGGGCTTCGGCAGGGCGCGGCCAGGTGGCGAGTGGCCCGGGACAGGGCGGGGTGGAGGGGCCGCGGGCGCCGGGGACCCGCCCGCCCGGCCTCCCGCGGCCTCCCGGCGGGGCCTGCCACCACTCACCCCCAGCAGGCACACTTTGAGCTCCCTCAGAGCCATGGCCTGGGAGCCCCGGCCGCGGGCCCGCCGCCGCCCTAAGTTGAGGGAGAGGCCCGGCCCAGCACGAGCATCCCCTGGCGCTGCCGCCGCACGGCCTGGCCCCGGCCGCGGGGCACGCAGAGGCGGCGGCCGCTCGTAAGCCGGCCCTGGGCCTGGCCCGCCTGCCGCCAGCCGCGCGGAGCCGCCTCAGCAGCCGGGACGCCGCCACGGCCTCC